TCCTGTCATTAGATCATCAGCTCCTTGAGAGGAGTGTCCTACTTTTCTTTTTGTATTCCAAGCTCTTAGCACAGTGCTTTGCACATGGTCTAACTCTTAGTAAATGCTTCATTCATTCATTGGATTGGAATAACAAAGCATCATTTTAGGAAAAAACAGATTCCATCTACTATCTCTATGAAAAAGGTATAAGAATCCTCCAAAACAAAGGGATAGGGAGGGAAAAGAAAGGTAAATTACAAGGTAAAGTCAGTAGAAAATGAATTTTGAGGAGTAGTAGCTAGCATTTATATAGTGCTTTAAAACTTCAAAGTACTTAACTGATGAATATTTTCAGAATTGGAGGCCAGAAATGGAGTTCCAACTATATGTGCTTTTAAAAAAAAAAGATATGATTTTAACAAATAATTGTTCAAAAGTTATAAGAAATGACATATGCTTTAGAGAAATACACTTTAGGAGCTAGAGTCAGCATTGGACCAAAAAAAGCAAAAACAAAACCAGTCTTCAAGATTGCTTGTTTATTCAGTGATAAAACAACTATTTAAATCCATCATATTTTCCTAACCTGTAGCTCTGCTCCCCAGACACTGTAAAGTTGGAGAGGGCAGCCCTCTGCAGGCTGATGTTATTTAGGCAGACTATACTGCATGTGTGGGAGGAGAACATAAGGCAGACAAAGAACAATTCCCCATGCAAATATACGCTCTGGATTCCTGAAGGTAATGTGGTGACTGCCTGTATCAGGTAATTAGTTTCCTCCTGAGGAATGGATGATCTTTCCTAATGGTCAATGGCATCATTTGCCTGTGTCTATTTAAGACTCTTTGAGATTCATTGAAAAAAAAGTTACTTTCAATTGACTCATAATTCTGGCTTCAAGATCAACAACCACAGAGTTCCATTCAGGGTCAGCTATAGATAAAACTGTGAAGTAGGTAAAATTGGTCTTCTGTGCCCTCTCATTTCCCATTTCAGCACATCTCTCATCCCTTTCAGAATTTCCCCATAATCTCCACTTTCAGGATTGCCTATTGCAATGCCCTAGCCATGTCTGTACTCTAAACAGTGTCATTACCCTGGAAGATTTTTCTCTCTATCCTTCCCTCTATGGTATCTTTCATTATATATAGGAAGTTGCTCTCAGATTTTCTTTTGACAAGGAAAATAATACAAATTCACACTTATTTAGTGCTTTAAGATTTACACACACACACACACACACACACACACACACACACACACACATACACACTTTAGGAAACTGTTAAATTCTTTGAAGGATTCCAATTTTCCCTGAAACAAAGACCCATCTTTTTTTGTACCAATATTCATCAGTCACTATTTTACAACCATGAGTCATAGAATTATTAGAGTCTCTGAACTGAAATTGAGTCATCCAAAGGGCAATGGAGAGACATATGATTAGTTGAATAGGTTGTAAGGAATTATAAAGGAAAAACAGGACATAAATGATATCAAGGAAATATATGAGCCAAAAAATAGGAGCTGGTTAAATGGTAAGAACAAAAGATAACTGATAGATGGCTTGTATCTCCAAAGGTATTCTCATGATGTCCAGCAAAATCAAGGAAAGCCCTTAATATATTGGGTCGACTCCCAAATCAAATTTGTGGAAAGGAATGGACCACTAGTGTCACCTTCATAGGTATTGCAAACTGCATCGTTGGAGCATATATCTGTATTGATGAGATAATAATAATAATAATAATAATAATAATAATAATAACTAGCATTTTTATAGCTCTTTAATGAGATCACTGAGCCAATAAGGTTAATAAAATACATCCCTCACAATAACCTTGGAACCCAGTAAGACTTGAGTTCAAATCCTGCCTTAGTCACTTCCTAGCTATATTGGAAACAAACAAAAAGAGCCTTTTTTAGTTAAGTGGAGGATAAAATAAATATTATTCAAGGTAGATAAGATGATAATAATGAATGCTGGAGAGAACTATTCAGTTCTTCCATTTACTTCAGCTTTTTTCTGATAATGACAATGCATAGAACTTTTTGTTTGCAAAATGTCTCAACTCTTTTGTGTAGGGAAAATAGTATTTTGGATTGATTTAACAAGTTGTAGATGTGTGTAGCTGTGTAAATTTAATACAGAGATACTTGACTACAGCCATGGAAAACACATGCCAAGGCAAAGAAAGCCATAGAGAAAGTGATGTTAGTGCTTAGAATTCAGTCTTCCTGACTCAGGGTTTCCTATAATCTGATTTGAAATTTGACCCTAAAGTTAGCTTCACTATTATCTAATATTTGTCTTATACTTTTTATATTGGCAACATCTCTCAAGATCACCTGTGTTAGAAATTAATCTTATTTTAGTTTGGTTACCTTTGAAGTAATGTTGGTATTGTTGTTGTCCAGTTGTTTTCCAGTCATGTCTGACTCTTTGTAACCCCCTTTGGGGTTTTCCTGGCAAGGATAATGGAATGATTTGCCATTTCCTTCTCCAGCTTATTTTACAGATAAGGAAATTGAGGCAAACAGGGTTAAGTGACTTGCTCGGGGTCACACAGCTAATAAGTGTCTGAGGCCAGATTTGCACTCAGGAAAATGAGTCTTCCTGACTTCAGCCCAGCACACCATATCCACTTCGCCACCTAGGTGCCCTTTGTTAGTATTAAACCCCACCTTTTATTAGAAGATGAAACTGATTCAACCTAAGTAATAGGACAAAAGTCATGTTAACCATAACAAACAAACATGTTTGTCATAGGCAAAGGAAACAAACACATCCAAGCCAAAATCTTATAGCGAATTAGGAAAGCAAATATAGCATCCTGACCCAGTAAGTCCTCTTTTGTGCCCCAAGCCACCACTTCTGTTAATCTATCTTCTCCCTTTAGATTTCACTGCAGTCCAGATGACTTGTGTCCATATTTTGACCAGTAGGTTAGGACAACACTCTAATACTGTCTATTCCTTTAGATCTTGACTTTGTTCTTTTAAGTAAGAAATTCATTCTGACATCATATACCTTCAGGAGGAAGGAATTGCTGAAGCTCCCTATAGAAAACAAATAGTCCTATTTAAGAATGAAGTTAAAACTTAAATTTTCAGCCTTAGGGTCATAGGTGAAAAAGGCACCCCATTTTGCAGGAAAGCAAACTGAAGCCCAAAGAAAATGTGACACACCTAAGGACAAACAGTTAATAAGTGGAAGGAATAAGAAAAAGGAATATAAAAAGGAATGAGAGGGGCAGCTAGGTGGCGCAGGAGATGGAGCACTGGCCCTGGAGTCAGGAGAATCCAAGTTCAAAAATGGCCTCAGACACTTACTAGCTGTGTGACCCAAGGCAAGTCACCTAACCATGACTGCCTCCAAACAAAGGAATGAGGACCCCAAATCTTCTGATTGCAAGTCCAGCATTTCTGCCACTACAAGTTGTGCAGTATAAAGTTGGTGACATTTTTGTCCATAGTTTTGACAGGAAGTATTTTGAAAATATCCTAAAGTTTACCGTAGTCATTGATTCATTCTCACATCTAGTTGCTTAATGAATGCATATTGATTTGACTTGGTTTAATGGAAAGAACACTGCTCTTAGGGTCAGACGAGCTCAGTTCAAATCCTTTCTCTGCTGCTTAATTGCTGTTTGACTTTACATAAATTACTTCAACACGCAGAGCCTCTGTTTACTATTATAAAATAAGGGGGTTCAAAAAGGTAATCTTTCAGGTCCTTTCTATCTCTAATATTCTGGGATTCCATTGTAATGGCAGGACTAACCAATAAGGACCTCATCTTTAGACAGTGGTTCTTAAACTTTTTGGTCTTAGTATTTTTTACACCCTTAAAAATTATTCAGGACTCCACAGAGCTTTTGTTTATGTTATTTAAAGCTATCAATATTTACCATATTAAAATTAAAATTCATCAGTTTAAAATACTAATCTTTATTTTAAAATAAATCAATTACATGCTAATATAAATAACATTTTAATGAAAAAATAACCATATTTTAAAGCATAATTTGCCAGAAAAGTGGCATTGTTTTACATATTTTAACAAATCTCTTTCAAACCCAACCTCAGACACTTACTGGCTGTGTGACCACAGATAAGTCACTTAATCTCTGCCTTAGTTTCCTCAACTGTAATCTCTTAAGAATAAAAGTTAAAAACCTTTCAAGTGAAACTCCTGTCTGTCTGCTCCCCCTGTCAACTGGCCATTGCACCAGGAAAAAGGCCTAGGGAAGGGTCTCCCTCTCCAAGAAATAAAGCAAAGATTAATACAGCATTGAGAGTATGAGAGGGGGGCACTGAATTAGCTTTCTTTTTCCTTCTCCTGCATGACAGGGAAGGGGAAGTGATCACTATGGAAAGATACAATAAATCAGTTAAATTAAGGGAGGAAGTGATGGAAATACAATTCAATGAAGCAGTTTTGTGAGTTCCCCAGCACTCCCTACACATTCTAGACCAGCACATAGTCAAGGCAAAGAATAACTGATTAATTAGGCTGTTACAGGCAGCAAGTACATGCATGTCCAAAGGAGAATAGAAGCACAGGGACAGACTAGACAGTCACCACCTGAGACATGAGAGAGAAGTCTGCTTTAATCTTTCCTTCAATGGCCTCTCCTCCTCTTCCCCCCCAAAAAGCACCATAGAGGTAGGGAGTTTGGGAAGGGGGAAAAGAGAATGTAGGGATAAGCTGAGCACAGAGATGATAATGTTGTGTGTATTGTGCAGAGGGGGTGAGGGAGAAAAGCAACAAATAGGGAGGTTAAAATGAGAGAGAGAACTCCCATAAAGTCCAGTCTCCTTAGGGTGGGGGGCAGGGATAAGAAAGGTGCCCCAACATCCAACCTTCTACTGCTAGGCTAGGGTTTGGTCAACAAATGGAATTAGAAAGGGTCCAAAAAAGAGGGTGCAGAGAAGTTAAACAGGGGCACACTAGGGCAGCTAGGTGGTGCTGTATGTAGAGCACCGGCCCTGAACTCAGGAGGACGTAAGTTGAAATCTGGCCTCAGACACATAACACTTACTAGCTGTGTAACCCCCATTGCCCAACCAAAAAAAAAAAAAGACTAAACAGGGGCACATTGTTGATTGATGCATCCCACCCAAATCTCCCCCCTTGAGCCCCAAAGTAGAAAAGAATAGAAAGAAGGGACAGAAGAAAATTTGGTGCTGAGGGAAGCCTGAGAAGGTGGTAAGGAGATTAATTCCTGCTATCACTGTTCATTCACTCCAAAGACATCATTCTTTTTGCGCTTCAGATCTTCAAAGTTGAAGTCTGTCCCAGTCATGTGCTTGTAAATATCTTTGATATCATTGCAGGTTGTCTCAAAGTCAGTGCTGGCATCATAAGAACGGAACAGAATATCTGGCTTTCCAATCCATCGTCTGTTGGCTCATACAAGTCACTGATGGCCACAAACTTTTGATCTATAGGTTCCAACAGCCTCAGAGCTGGCTCGATCTCCTTCTCAGGCTCCGCTGTCTCCACTGTGGTGCTGACGATAGCAATGTACTTTCTCTGGGCAGCCACCTTAAAGGCATAAGAGATCATGAACACATAGATGTCCGATCTCCTGTTGACCTGATTCTGGGGAATGATGATTTGGCAGGAGTTGACATTATCAGTGTTCCTGATGGGGTGGCTGAGGATACAGATGACTCGGATGACCTGGCCCGTCTTTTGCACCCTATCAGGGACATAGCTGGGGTCACAGATCAGCTGCTTGCAATGAGCCACCTTCCCCTCTGACTTCACACCCACCACTTTTCCATTCTCCATGATGATGTCATCCACAGGTTTGTTCAGTATGTATATCCCACCATAGATGGCGCTCAATCTTACAAATCCCTGAGGTAGCTCTCCCAGGCCATAGAGAGGGTACAGGTATGGGCTCTGCCCATACTGGTCAAGGGACCTGCTGTAGAGTTTGATGCGATTGATGGTCTCAAGGCAGAGCTGGTCCAAGTAGTCGTCAGTTTGGTGGAGTGCCAGAACATGGCCAACGAACTCAATAACATTCTGGCCCAAATCAAACTTCTCGTACACATCTCTCATGGTTGTAGTCTGAAGGTCGATACCCTCAAAGCTCTCGGGTTCATCCTCATCGAAGGCTGACACGAACATCAGGAACTTTCTAAACTGGCTTTTCTCAAACATGCTCAAAAGGCTGAAGGACAAGGCCTCCGTCTCAGTGGATGGCACCCTAAAGATCTCGCCCCCCTTGTAGACAAAGGTGCCTTCCACCACTTTAAATTCTAGGTAATTGGTCACTTCTGTGTAAATCAACATAGTCACCAACTGGCCACTGGCCAGGAGGAATTTGGGGATCAAATCAACGTTCCAGTCTCGGCCCCTGCCCAGGCTTGCGGGAGGCCCCTCACTCAGCTCGAACCGCTTGTACAAGTCTTCCAGGGGCGTGATGGAGGCGCCTTCGCCCCCGTAGTAAGGGTTCCGATCAATGTGCAGCACCGTCTTCCCATTCACAGACATGATGCCGGCGAGAATACATTCCTTGAGGCCTGTGCCCAGCACGATCACGTCGTACTCCCCTTCCATGGCCCGGCAAGGCTGAGCTCGGCTCGGCTCCGCGTTCGGGCTTCTCAGCCGTTGGTGCAGCCGCCCTCGAGCCTCAGGGACGAGTCACAGCCGCTGCCTCCGCCCTCGTTCCGCCTGCGGCCCTGCACCCACCCGCGCTGCCTCCGCCTTCCAGGGCGCTGCGCTCCTGCACTCAGCTATGCTGCCTCCGCCTTCCAGGCCGCTGCGCCCCTGCCCCCACCTGCGCTGCCTCTGCCTTCGAGGCCAGAGTGCCCTTGCACTCACCTGCACTACCTCTGCTGCCTCCGCTGCTGCCGTCACTCTTGCCATTTCCTGTTTCTTATTATCATAATGATGAAAGGCCTTTTAATTGGCTGTGGAGCCAGGACTGAGTGTGCATACAAAAGACTAAGACAAAACCTCTAACTCCTAATTGATGGTGGTTGTTGTTTGTTCAACTCTTTGGGGTTTTCTTGGCAAAGATACTGGAATGGTTTACCATTTCCTTCTCCAGCTCATTTATAGATAAGGAAACTGAGGCAGACATAGTTGAGTGACTTGCCCAGGGTCACATAGCTAGTAAGTGTCTGAGGCCAGATTTGAACTCAGGAAGATGAGTCTTCTTGACTCCAGGTCCAGTCTATTCAGGGCACAACCTATAGGCCCCCTGTAGAGATGTGGGTTGGAGATGGGGGGGGAGTTATTTGCCACTAGCACTCCCCCTTGAAGAGTCCTAAAAGGGAATGGACTGAGATGGAAGTTCTCTGCCTGTGACAGCTCTGCCCTAATACTCATGTCAGGCTGGGCCTTCTTCTCTACCAAAGAGAGCTTCCCATACCAATGGGCCTTGGAACAAGAGTTACACTGTTGGGCTTCCCACTAACAATGAGCCAGCCTTGATGGTGTTGAACAGACTTATCCTGTCACAGCTGCCATCAGACTGTACTGTGCACTCTAGTTATTGGACCTCTGGTAGCTCTCTTGGAAAGAATAGACACAACAGGGACAGAAGAAACATGGAATGTTTATAGCCACTTGGTGAAGAAGAATCTAGAGATGTCTATCCTGATTTCCTTCAAACTCTACACAACAGGTCTTCATCACTACTGACAGGCTTCACCATATGTGGGCCTTGCAGCACCTGTGGGGCTAACTCTTCCACTATATATATATATTAGGGTGGGCTTCTCTACCCAAGTGGGACCCCTAAATTTGCTACTTAAGTAATGTTACTGGAAACCCAGGTCCTTAAGTTTAGATCCCTGAAAGTTGTAATGAACTGCTCTCTAGGGACTCAGATAATATGAATAAGAAGTTCAAGGAGTCATCCAAAACAGGTGCTGTGCTGTGATGCCACTCCAGGTCTCCATGATCTTTTATTTCATCCATCTATCCATCCGTCCATCCATCTATCTATCTATCTATCCATTTGTCTACCTGTCTATCCTATGTTATCTATCTTATTTGTTTTTAAGGCTGGATCTTCCTATTCTACCTAGGCTGGAAGCACAATAGCCATCTATTCCGTTTATCCAAACTGGACAATTTGTCCCATCCTTAAGTAGACCAATGGCCTTCTTTGTGAAAACACTGAATTGGTGTTGGCCCAAAGAAAGCTCAGAACTTCTTAACTCAAGTGATTCACCAGCCTCAGCCTCCTCAACAGGAGGTACTACAGGCATACGTCACCACTAAACAAGTTTCCATGAGCTTTTAAGAATCACCGATAGAGGATCAGCGATCACATCTGCCAGTTCTTTCAATGCCCTAGGATGTATCTCCTTTGAACTGTAACTTGAATTCATCAAGGACACTGGATATTCTCTTTATTTACCTTGGCTATCAACCCCACTTTTAGCCATATTTGTTTAGTCCTTTCTATTCCAAAGATCATTCTTCTTGTAAGAAAAAACAGAAAAAAACATCAAAATCAAATAATTCTATCTTCTCTTTCATCAGTTATCGTGGTGTTATTATCCTCCCTGAGTATCAGTACTAGCTGTTCTGATCCTTTCCCCCCAAATTACTTAAACCAGTTTTTGTCTTTTTCTGCCAACTTCAGCTCATTCTGAGACTTAGCATTCATGAAACAATTCTTAGAGAATTGTGCCTTGTTATATTCATTGCCTGTTACCTGTCCTTGCCTCCATCTTCCGTCTTTTAAAAAGGCAAGTCAATTGGTAAGTTCCGTAAGTGACATTATTGGTCCCATTTCCCCCCTTCATCAAAATTGTATGTCTCTTCAGAATTTCATCCTTGAGGGATGAAATGTCACTCCTGAGCTGACATTCCCTGTGGAATTTTGGTCTATGGAATCCTATTTATCTTTCATTGGAGTCCTTTGAAATCTGTTCTCATAAAAGCTAAGGTTCATGTCAGACCAATCACAAATTCTAAGACAGAGTGGTCATTTCCATCTAAGATTCCTCACTGGATATTAGAGCTGAAAACTACTTTAGACATTATCTAGTCCAATTCATTCATTTCTACACAAAAGGAAACTCAGAAATCTACTGTGGGAAATGGACTAGGTCAAAAACTATGTATGTTTTTGTGCTAATCCCTAAGGACAGAGAACATTCTTCTAAATCTCCATCTCTCTTGGTGTTTCATAAATTTAACAAACATGATAAATGTTTGTTGGATGTATGAGGGATTGAATGGAATGAATTGATACTATGTGAGTTGCCTCAGAGTGTGGTAGACTCTGCTCATTGTCACAAGGAGGAACTACACTCATTCCCATCTCCACCTTTTTTCATATTTCCCCCCTTGCCTAGAATGGCTTCATTTCTCCATTCTCCCTATCCAAATCCTATCCATTGGATAGCTAACTTTTTATGATTTAATTTTTAGACTCTTCTTCTTTCTCTCCTCTCCTTGTCTTTCTTTTCATTTTCCCTCTTCCAGTCTTCACTTTATTGTTATTATTTTTGCTAGCATAGATGTATAAATTGAATTATCCACATGATGGCAGCCTAAGCACAGAATTGTACTAGATGCACATGCCCTTTAAACAATATAGTGATGCTTATATAACTAGAAAACAGCAAGAGAAACATTATCAGTAACTTCCTGTACTACCCAGAACCAAACCCTGATAAATCATTGACTTAGCTTCCCTAATAACACAATTTGATCCATGTCTACTGTGTGATGATAACTCAGGGAGTTTCCTGCTTTTTCTTATCATATTGCTTAATTCTCTGATTTTGAACACAATGTTGAACATTTTCTCTTCATATTCCTAGCATTAAAATTCTGACTCCTCAGAACAAGTACTGTTTTACTCGTAGCCACATACCTAGATAGGCTCAGTAATTTCGGTATGAAACTTTGCCTTTAGTTGATTCAATGTTTATATTTAAGGTACTTGTGCTGTTGAGGGTTGAAATGTTTATCAGGTGTCAGATGGTTCATTTTCTTCTGGAAGAGCAAGAAGAAATTAGTGATTCTAAGACTCTTGGAGATTTTTCATATTGATATTTTTTAACTCAGTATTTGATCAAAATCTGACCCTAATGATAATCTTTCTCTCTGCTCTCTAAAGTGGAAAATGTGAACTTACAGACTGTAAACTTTTGATTCTAAATATAAATTCCTCAAGGACAAGATATGTTGTATGCCCATCTAATTGCACAATGCAGAGTACAGAGAAGGTACTTAATAAATGAGTGCTGATTGATCTTGGAGTTAGAAGACCTGGATTCAAACCCTAGCTCTGAGACTTACTACCTAGGGAACCCTGAAAAAAATCACCTCCTCATTAGACTAGTTCAGCCAAACTGATACGTTTTCTGTTCCTCCTATATGACATTTCACCTCCCACATCCATTCCTTTGCACTTCATCCTTGGAATGATCTCTTTCCTCACTTTTCCCCCTTGGAACCCAAATTTACTTTAAGGCTCAGCTTGAGTACAATTGCCTTCAAAAGACCATTCATGATTCTCCCCATTGTTAGTGCCTCCACCTCATCTATTTCTTTCTTGGTAAATGTCTTTTTTTCCCCTTCCTTCCTTCCTTCCTTCCTTCCTTCCTTCCTTCCTTCCTTCCTTCCTTCCTTCCTTCCTTCCTTCCTTCCTTCCTTCCTTCCTTCCTTCCTTCCTTCCTCCCTTTTTATATGTCTATATTCTTTTGTTCATTCATCTTGAACAAGTTGTCTCCCCCTAGTGGAATGTAAAGTTCTTAAAAATAAGAGATTCCCCCCCCTCCATGTATATCAGACTGGAGCATACAACAAAAGCCATATTTAATACATAGTAGGGCTCAATAAATGCTTGTTGATTTATTGGTGTTTCCTATTATTGGGGGGGGTGCTATCCAAAGGAAGTTGGAAGGTGGTGATGGAAAGAGTACTGAATTTAGAGTCCGAGGAGCTGGGTTTGAATTCCTACTGTGCCACTTTCCTGTCAATGTGACCTAGAAGGGATAGCTGACAGCGTGGATGACAGAGTCAAGATCCAAAGAGATATGGACAGGTAAGAGCACCGGGCTTATTCTAATAACATGACATTCAAATAGAGGTCAGTGTAAATTCTTATATTTGAATTTTACAAATACAGGATGGAGAAAATAGTCCAAAAGCTGCTGTCAGAAAAAAAAATGGGGTTTTAGTGGACTCCAAGATCAATATAAAGTAGTAGTAAAGTGATAGCCAAAAAGCTAATACAGTCCTTGGCTGCACTGAGAGGAGTGTAGCAGAGGCTAAACTGGCCTATAGTGGCCCTCCCATGGGGTGTGCCCCAAATTGCTTTTCTTGGTTCCAGTCTACCATGTGGGAACTTTGGGACCTGCTTCCAGCTATATGGCAATCCAACACCAAAATTACTTTGCATTCTGGTATAATGTGATAAACCTTGAGTGTCTCTTTTCTCCTTTTGTGTTTATTGCTTTGTTAGGTGAAAGAGTATTTATTTTAAGATGGGACAAGTCCAAGCCTGAAGGTTCTGAATCTGAAAGGTTCAGACGTCCTGGACACCATCAGGTTGTGGGCAAATGAATGTAGGGGAGAAGTCCCCAGCAACTAAGTCAATGTCCTTGGGAAGAACCACCACCACCACCAAGAAAAGAATTGGCCCAAGCCTAGTAGTTTTGCTAGCAGATGTGTACAATGGAGAGCCAAGGTGAAATGCACAATGCCTAATTAGCAGTCCTATAAGTTGCTTTGTGTTCTGATGAGATGTATCAGTGTCCCAGAAGATTAAAACAGTAGTTACAAGTTGTTATTGAATTTTGTTTTTAATCATTCTATTAATATGTGTTATGAGTCTTTTATACTTAGTTTTTCTTTTGTATAGGAATAAATCGCCTGTTCCATAGCTGGTTCATGTTGTTTATTCAGTACATTTTTACCATCTCTCTTTTTTTGGAGGAAACCCCAGATCTAAGCCATAAACTAATCACTAGTAAAATCATCCCTAGAGTGCCATGGTGGGCATTTAACAAGCTGAAGAGTTTGAGAGAAGAGAAACTGATCCCTCTTACTACTCAGGCTACACAGGACTGAATCTGGAAGAAATTAATTACATGCCTGGGCACAGAACAAGCAATGTGTATTAAACTTTTTTCTGTTTAATTCCAAAGGGCAAAACTAGAAGCAGAGGATGGGGGGTTCAGTGAGGCAGATTTGGGCATGATATCAACAAAAACTTCCTGACCATTAGAACTGTCCAAAACTGAATGACCTATCTTGGGAGAAAATAAGTACTCCATTACTAAAGCATTCAGCAAAAACTAGATAACCATTGTTGGGTATATTATGGTGGGCATTCCTTCTAGCTATGGTCTAGACTAGGTGGTCACTGAGGTCCTTCCATCTCTAAAATTTTGTGATTTTGTGAGTTGATTTCATTCTCTATGCCTCAGTTTCTTCATCTGTAAAATGAAGGAATATGACTAAATGACCTCTGAGAGTTCTTCCACTTATAAATCTAGGATTATGTCAGTAGTTATCATGGTACAGGATGACTAGATGACTCTTACGGCATATTACATTTGGTTAAAGGAACTGGTTAGCTTAGCCTGGAGAAAAGAAGGTTCCAGTGGGGAATGGTAGCTATCTTCAGGTATTTGAAATGCTCTCATGGGAAGAAGGGAACAATAGGTGGAAAATGCAGAGGCAAATTTAGGCTTGATGTCAGGAAAAGCTTCCTAACAAGTTCAAAAGTAGAAGGGCTGCCCCAAGGGGTGGTGGGCTTCCCTTCCTTGGTGGTCTTTCAGGCAGAGGCTGGATGACCACTTGATGAGTACATTCCAGTGAGGAATTCATTCTAGGTATGAGGTAGATTAGAGAGCCTAGAGGTCCCTCCTAATCCTCGAATTCTATGATTCTGTGATTGAGTTTCTGTTTCTCTAACTTTAATTTCCACTGTGGGTGGGAATATCATCAACCTTTAGTGGGGACTAGGCATGGAGCTTAGGGGATGAAACATTGTTATCATTAGTGACATGAATTAAAGTGGAAGGTGGCGAATGGGAATAAGTGTATCTACTTCCAGAAAGTTCCTTCCCCTAGGTATTTATGTATAGACAGAAGTGCTCTTCATTCATGGAAAATGCTCATCTAAGGGTCACAATAAGCCCCATGTTCCTAAGGAAAGAGCAATAACTAGGAGTTGTCATTTTTCAGGCATGTTCTCTACCTATATAATTTTTATCAATATTATTTCTGGATATGTAGTAATAAGACAGCTGTGGGCAAGAAGTGATAGGGATTATAGTGTGAGGTTGAAGGTGGGAAGGAACAGCAGCAAGAAAGAATGAAGACAGCCATCATGAAGATAATTCAGCCCAGCACTTTTCAGAAATACCACATCCTCTTGGCAGCTAGGGGCACAACAGATAGAGTGCTAGGCAGAGAGTCAGGAAGACTCATCTTGCCGAGTTCCAATGTGGCCCCAGACGCTCCCTAACTATGTGACCTTGGCAAGTCGATTACCCTTTTTGCCTTAGTTTCCTCACTTATAAAACGAGCTGGAGAAGGAAATGGCAAACCACTCCAGTAGTATTGCCAAGAAAACCCCAAATGGGGTCAAGAAGAGTCAGACACAACTGAAATCGACTGAACAACGACAGCTAAGTTCTCAGAGAAATTTCTAAAGTATTAGCATTAGAAGGGTTTTTAATGCTCATCTAGTCCAAGCTACTCATTTTACAGATGAGGAGAAGTGCTCAGGGGCAAGTGACTTGCTCAAAGTTTTACAGCTAGTTAGTGACACAACCAAGGCTAAAAACTAGGTCTCCAATTTCCATTTTAGTAGTCTTTTCATGCATTAGCCTGCCTCCCTGTTGACCCATTTTTTTGCATGTTTATCATTGCCACCTCTTTTTCAACCTACCCTTTCTATCTAGCCTTCATATTTAGTCATAACTTGAACTTGGAGTCAGGAGACCTCGTTATACCTGCTTGATCCCATATCTAATATTTTCTAGGTGTGTTACTATAGAGAGGTTACAACCTCTTGGAGTCTCAGTTTCCTTATCTGTAAAATGGGGACAAAAATACTTGATACCTATCTCCCAGAGTTGTTTTAAGGAAAGAGCTGTATAAATCTCAAATATTAACTATAGAAAGGCACATCATAATACCTACTAATATAACTTTTAATACTTCCTTGTTTTTCTCTCTTTGCCTAATCTGTTTACATAGATACAACATTTCTTCTAGCCTTCCTGTCTTTGGCTTTTATTATACTTTGCTTCTCGTGTTTTCATTCTTCATCCTATCTTAGTTGAACAGCTGCTCAGAAAAAAAAAATATAGAATCCTAGAATGTTGGGGCTTGAAAGGACCTTAGATAACACCTATTTGACCATACCCCTCTGTCCTCCCTCCATACTCCCTTCACTTTATAGATGAGAAATTCAGGATCTAGAGTTGAAGTGACTTTCCTAAAGTTACACAGCTAATAAATGGCATAGGGAAGATTTGAACCAAGGTCTTTGACTATAAGAGTAGTGCTCTTTCCATTATCCCATAATGTAATGTAGAAATAAGAGGGAACCAATGACTGTGGTCCATTTAAGCACATTGTCAAAATATATTCTGCCAGAAAGATGAACAAAAAATGTTGCCACCTTGATATTGCAAAAAATGCAGTGGGAAAAGTAATGGGCTTGAAGTCAGAAGGGTTTTTTCCACTTCCTACCTACATGAACTTGAGAAAGTCACTCTCTGGGCCTCAGTTTCCTCACCTCTAAAATGAGGGTGTTGGACCAGATAGCAACATGTGATTAATCCTATGAATACTACATGTTTGAAATTAATACTGAAAATCTATTTTGTAGGCAGAGAACATCCCTGAAAAATAAAAACTCCCCTTAGTTACTGCTTTTTCCCTGAAAGCATGGGGTTTATTGTAAGATCCTTGAAGGTCATTTTCTACAATGATCCTCTCTGCATTTCATGCCCAGCATTTCATGAAGATCTCAAAACCTTTTAACTGCTTACATTCTTACGCTACCGATTTTGAAACTGGAATGGAGAAATATTGCTAACCCCAACATAGCCAAACCAGCAGCAAGGCTTGAATTTTCATAATTGCTATGCAGGTGTAATTGTTTGTGGGTATCATTCAACACAACTTCACCATAGTGGGGCAGGCAAGCTATCACTTTATATCAGTGTGTAAATCATAAAGCTTTTAAAATTGCTGTCAAACATCCACATTCTTAGGTAAGTAGTACTATATCCTTTCTACAATGTTCTCAGAAATGTCTTCCTATTGAGAGAGTTTCCTACAGAAAAATACAAAAAAGTCAGGAATCGAAGGAACAAATAATATGAGAACATTGTCCTAATCCACTGGACCAAACATGAGCTCATTTTGTGGACTGTATAGATAAAGGGAGAAGATAGATGTGAACTAAAGTGATGTAATTTAGGGTACTAAAGATGCATAATTCCACTGACTATGCTCTTTACCTTTGCCATGGATGTGTTTCTTCTGGCTTGGATAAGGTATTCATGTGCTACATTTTAGACAACTTCATCTAGTCACTTGAGGTAAATCAGTCACTCAGAAGAAAGTTTTACCATTTTGAGAGTTGAGCTATTTTGAAAACAGAAAGTTTGACACCAAAATGTTCATTTCCTTAATCCTTAATCCTTAGGTGTGACTAATATTTGAAGTGCTTAATCTGTGGGAGAGCTTAAGAAGAAAGTAGTCTAAAACAGCTAAACCTCTGGACACATCACAGATTGGTAATGTCACACATAAACTTCCAAGGTACAGGAAATTTTGGCGACAGTTGACAGCTACTTTCTTGACTTAGATGATTCCAAACTGGGCCAGCTCATGTAGTTCCAGGTGGCTGAAGGCTTCCCAGGGACAAATGACCGTGATATCTATAAAAGAGGAGAAGAGCATATAAACTCATTCTGTTCCACAGACTTAAAAGCTTCTGTGTCCTTTTTCAGGGAAAATCTTTCAAATAGAGAGATATCTCCATAATCTCACCTTGTCTTTCTCCCCCAGACACTTAGGTAGCCCGAATGGTATCCTAGTTCCCAAAAACATTTTAGAGGAAACTGAGGTTCAGAGAAGCCAATCAACTTGCCCACTTTCTTATTGACAAAGATCAAGTGAAGAGCCCAGGTCTCCCTCCAGGTCCAACTCTCTTTCTATTGTTTCCTATTTCTATAAACTCAGGAGGCAGCTAGATGGTGCAGTAAGTAGAGCTCTGAAACTGAAATCAGGAAAGCTTCTGTTCATACCTGACCTCAGACACTTATTGGTTGTAGGAACTTGGACAAGTTAAACTCTGTCTGCTTCAGTTTCCTCATCTGTAAAATGGGGACAATAATAGCACTTACCTCACAGAGATGTTGTGAGGATCAAACAAGATAACCCATGTAAAGCTCTTTACAAATCTTAAAGCACTACATAAATATTAGTATTAGCATTATTATTACTATTTTAATGCATGCTTGGGGAATCAGAAGTGGGGTAATGCTGTTGGCCTGATTATGTGTGGTGTTATCCCCATTTTTCCAATGAGGAAATTTATGTACAACTAGTAAGTCAGAACTAGGCTTTATTGCTATAATGATTATTATTATTATTAAATAATTAAATATTTAATAATTAACATTTATGAATCACTTTAAGGTTTGCAAAGCACCTCCTGTATTAACTTGTTTGATTTAACTTGATTTGGATGTAGGTGTCCTGATTCAAAGTGCAATCTGATACATGATGCTGACTCAGATAAACAGCTGATTGCAAAATGCAAATACATGCATGCTTGCTCTTATAAATACAACAGTTCTTATCAATATCTATTAAACAGTTAATAGGAGAAAAAAATTTCCTTATACTCATTTTAAGCTTCTAGCTGTCTTCATTTAGGCCTAGTTTTAAAGTATCTGTCTTCTTGAGAGTATAAGAATTGATAGCCCTCAATTTAAGGATCTCATGTGAAAACATCTCATTAGACCCACCTGTTCCAAGGCCCTCCATGCCTGGGATGTCATCTCCAAACCTAAGAAGTTAGAAGGGAAAAAAAGGGTGGGGGAGGGATTAGCTGAGATCAGATGAAGAGGATACTGGATTGATTCATTTAGGAATTCTCTTGACTGAAGGGAAGAGAAAGAGAGAGGACAGGCTTGTTAATTTTTTTTTCCCCTCTCACATCTATATACAGTAGATTTTTTGATTTGTACAGTGTTCACAGCATCTCCTGGATAAAGAACAAGAAAACGAAGCTCAAACAAGTACTAGCCAATGTGTGCCACTGGAAGAGATGTTGAAACTGAAATATCACTTGAAACATTTATGAGCTATCAAAGGAAGGTCTGCTCTCATTGTTCCTCAGTAAGAGACTTTAGTACAAGCTTTGCTCCTTTAAAAAAGAGAGACATACATTTAGCCAATAAAAATTGGGACAGCTATGGCCAGGAGATGAAGAGGATACAAAGTGAGCTTATGAGAAGGATGCCTTAGGAGTTGAGATGAAATGGGGATCATGGTTGGAGACCTTCAGGAAAAGCCTGAAATGAAAGTAGAGGAGGAGAGAAAAATGGAGGGACCAAGGATGAAAAAAAAAAAAAGAAATTCCGAAGTATGGTCTGAATATTCAGTGACTATTCACTGAATATTTGGTGAAATAAAATTTCAAACCAAGGTGATTTAGGACAGAAGACCATGAGATATGGTGGCATATTTTTCTCCATTTTGGAGGCAGGAACTCTTACCCTTTCACACCTTTCTTAGGAGGCTTACTCTTGAATTGTCGAGTTTGTCTCTGCTTGAATTTAGGGGGTGCCTTGCGTGGAGTGGTGGGACCCTGGCCTGAGGATGGAGGGGCCAATGTGCTGTTGTCACTCATTTTCAAGTTCCTAGAGGTAGACAGTGCTTCCCTTTCAAATGCCTTAGCCTGCAAAATAATCACAGACAATAAAGTAAGTTAAGCATTCAAAGAGATTTTTCAAAGCTTCATATGCCATTATTAAGAACAAGGAATAAAAATACTTTTGGGTTTGACTGGAAGTTAGAAGAAGTTAATACATTTTCAATAAGAAGAAACTTTAGATTTATGTGGTAATAGAGTAATAGTAGAATAATAAACAAAATCTTCTAGTACAGGAAATTCAGTAAGGTAGATGGTAGACTAAAAATACAGGTATTTGGAAATATAGGAAGCTAAGAAATCTGAATCATCTCAATGAATTGTTCTAACCACCTATGGCCATAATTTAACTCTGAAGTCAGCTCTCTGAGAGTATTATTTTAGGAAGGAAGGAAACAAATATTTATTAAATGTCTTCTACGTTCCAGGCAGTATGCCAAGTGCTTTGCAAGTATTACCTGCCTTGATCCCCATGACAACCCTAAGAAGTAGGTGCTATTAGTATCCTCATTTTAGAATGGAGGAAACAAAGGCAAACAAAAGTTAAGTGACTTGCCCAGGATCACACATCTACTAAATGCCTGAGACCAGATTTGAACTTGGGTCTTCCTGGCTCCAGGCCAGGGACAGCTGTTGACCTCAGAGACGGACCACCATCAATCTATTACCTCTACAGGGATCTACATTCCAGCTGATTAGAGGATAAGCTTTTATTCTGCCTATAAGCCATACAAAAGGATTTTCAGTCCCACATCCCGGTATCTTCATTTCTTGTAAGTATATAAAAATAGCTAGGATGGCCTTCTCACAATTAAGAAAAGCAAATGTTGAAATGAACGTTAAAAGAAAGGAAACTGGTAGCATAATGAGGTCAGTTGCTAGGATGCAAGAACTCTGCTATTCTTGCTGCTCCCCGAGTTCCCTGTCACTTAGTGCGACCAGCATTTCCCTGATAAAAAAAAAAGATTCTGAGCGGTTTGGTCCACTCTTGTAGGAGTCAGGTAAACAAATCCTTTTTCTCTTCTTCCTCCCTTCAACTTCCTAATACATTTTTTTTTGCTTCTTTCTGACTGTTTCTTTCACCTGGTTTGACCTATTTACACTAAGACACTTATATATGTTTTTCCTTGCCTCTCTTTCAACCTTACTCAAAAAAACCTCTTCTAAACCTTCCCCTGTGGCCCTTACCTTTGTTTTCTTATTACCTTCTGAATCAAATTGGGAATCTTCATTTTCACCTTTAAAGTATTTGTCTTTTATCTTCTATTTCCCTAGTTAATAATTTTTTCTCCAGTAACTTGTTATCTATTCCTCACCCTCTACTTTCTCTTTTGCCATTATCCAAACCTACCCTCTCTATGAAGGGAAGTCTCTGCTCCCCTCAGTGGTTTATGACCGTTGCAACTGCTTTATGCACTTGTATCTTATTTTTATTGTAGTTACTTAGCTATGTGCTGTCTCTCTCAAATCTGCTATAGCTATGAAGGCAAGGACTCTAATTTAATCCTTGCCACGGACCAGGTGCAGTGATGTAGCAGCTTTAAAAATGCCTCTTCAATAGAATTAAGTTCAAACTCAAACTCTCTAATTTTATAATTACATGCATGCACAAATCTCAGGATTGGAACCAAGGTATAAGAAATCTGTTGCTGAAATAGTAACGATGGGAAACTTAGTATTCACTTCATCTTATAATTTGTGATGGGGGAGAGGAAATTCAGTGAGGCAGCTGGTGGTGCTGTGGACAGAATGCTGGATGTGGAGTCAGGAAGCCTTGGGTTCAAATATGGGCCTCAGACACTAACTAGCTGTGAGACCCTGGGCAAGTCATCTAGCCTCTGTTTACTATGGTTTCCTCAACTGTAAAATGAGGGTAAAAAATGGCACCTTCCTCTAAGGATTATTGTGAGGGTCAAATGCAAAAATATTTGTGAAAAGCACTTAGCAGCACAGTTCATGGCTCATAGTAGTTGCTGTATAAATGCCTATTTCTTTCTCCTTCTCTTCCCCTAATCTACCTCACCCTAGGTATATCTGGAGAACAGACTTCAAAGGGTTCACAAGGAGGATGGGTAGGATCCCATAAACCAGGCCTGTATACGGCCCACAGGCCACTTGCTGCGAACCAAAGGATTTTGGGGAGCCCAGGAAAAATGTAGAGGAAAACATCCTCTACATTTTTCGTGGGTCATCAGAAATCCTTTGACGTGCCATCGGGCCGAAAGCAGCCTGTGGGCCACAGGTTGTACAGGCCTGCCATAAACTAAAGGTCTAGGGAGGTTAGTATAGGAAATTCTAAAGATGAAATTTTTTTAAATAAAAGTTTATTGCTATCCTTTGTTTTTACATTATTAATACTTCCCATTGTCCTCATTCTGTCCCAGAAAGATATTTTTTACAATAAAGTAGAAATAAAGGAAGGAAAATAAAACGTACAAATATACAAAAATCTACAGATATAAAACAATATATCAAAAAAGTCTGCTGTTATATGAAGTTTCCTAGTACAATGCCTGCCCTTCCCCCCAACCACTTCTGCAAAGAAGTGTAGAGAGGTGGCACCTCAAATTTAAGATGAAATTCTGAATAATGAAAGAAATGTTCCCAATGAGGAGGGAAAAGAAAGGATTTGTCAAAAGGGACTGGTGGGCATACTCAGGGAATTCATCAACCAATTTAAGGGGTTTTTTTGGGTTTTTTTGTTTGAAACCATGTACACAATATGGAAACAAGAACAGTAATGGAGGATGAATTCATGAGTGAAACATGGATTCATCAGAATAGATACAGAGGTACCAGTGACCAGAAGGAACAAATTTTTATGTGGAAAGCAAAGGATACCCCCCTCCCCCCAAAATGTTGTTCTTTAGATATATTGGGATAAAGACATGTACTTGGAAGAAGAGCCATGCTGTAGAGGGGCTTCTGGACCACACCACCCAGAAAAGAAAGGAAATACTTTAAGCCAATACTGAGGTCTGGTACAAATCTACCTACAAAGAAGAGGAGTGTGTATACCATGCTCAGTTCCTAGATTAAACAGGAGATAGATGTGAGCAGCAGCAAGAGACAGAACTGTGCTATGAAGTAGAACATCTGGACTTGGCCCTTCATTTGTATTAGACTCACATGCAAGTCATATTCTGATGTCCTCAGGGGGAAACTTAGATGATGCCATTGGCTGAAGAGAGGTGTTTATGAGACCCAAAGTTGGATCCAGACTATGTAAACCCAGAGCGGAAGTTCTGGGTCATGGATGCCAATAATTATCATAGATGTCAAGAATTATTATATGCACCTGATAAGGATATTGTACTTTTTCTTTTATAATGAACCTTTAATAAACATTTCAATACATAAGGAGAACTGAAAAGAGAATTGTACATGAAATACCAACTTCTGTTAAATCGTTTTTGTTTTTTTAAAAAAAGAACACTTAAAGAATATATTGAATTTAACAAGGTAGTAACATAATTTCTGTGTCTTCTTGTAAGCTGTTTTTTGCCAGGTACATGTATATATATATATATATATATATATATATATATGTATATATATATACATATATATACACACACACATATACATATATATACATATATACATATACATATATATATACATATATACATATACATACATATATATGCATATATATACACACACATATACATGCATATATATATATACATACATATATATGCATATATATATATATATATATATATATATATATATATATATATATACATCTTTAATGTTTTACTGATGCTTTTTCCCCCTCCATCACTAACACACCCACCGACAATATATTTTCCAGGAGCTTTTTTTCTTTGCTAGTTCCTTTCAGCTAGATCTATTTATTTTTTCTCAAATTGGGTTAAGATCTCTACCTGGTCTGAGAAGGTATTTTATATTTTTAAGGCATTCCTCTATTTTTTTGTGTGTGTTCTTGGTTTTATTATCATATAACTGTGCATAATATTGCACGTTATCGCATCCATTAGACTGTAAGCTCCTCTAGGTCACAACTAGGGTTTTTGCCTTTCTTTGTAGCCCCCTGCTTAGTACAGTGGCTGGCACAAAGTAAATGCTTAATCAGTGCTTGATGATGATGTTATCGGTGTTCCCCCTAGCTGTTTGGGCTTCCTTTCTCTTCAAATTCATATATACATATATATATGTGTGTGTGTGTGTGTGTGTGTATGTGTATATATGTGTGTATATATGTATGTGTATATATACATACATATATACACACATATATACACATATATGTGTATGTGTGTGTGTGTGTGTGTGTGTGTGTGTGTGTATCTTTGCACTCTGTAGAGGGCAGAGACTGATCTTTGTAGTCCCATCTTGCACACTACCTTGCACAGGTGATGGGCTTAATAACTGTCATTTGAATTGTTGAGTAGCAAAGTAGGGATAGGCCTGCTGCTCAGGATAAATGGGACAGTGATAAATGACAGCGGAAAGAAGAAGGAACTTTCCTTTATTTTGCTTTTTTTTTTAAACTGGAAAAGACAAAGCAAAAATGACAAATAGAGAATTGAAACACATTGCAAATAAAGGAACACCTAGCTTTCTTTGATGAGTTCAAATCACTATGCCATGATGAGATAGTAGGTGGGATATGTGATCTTGTGAGTGATCTTTCAAAGATTGTGGAGAATAGCATCTAGATGGCACAGTGGATAGAGCACCGGGATTGGAATCAGGAAGACTCATTCTCATGAGTTCAAATCCAGCCTCAGATACTTACTAGTTGTGTGACCCTGGGCAAGCCACTTAACCCTATTTGCCTCAGTTTCCTCATCTGTAAAAACTAGCTGGAGAAGGAAATGGCAAACCACTCCAGTATCTTTGCCAAGAAAACCCCAAATAGAGTGGTGAAGAGTTGGATGTGACTGAAAAACGAAGGAACTGAAATGGAGAATGGCAAAGGTGCAATGGGCCTGGAGAAGGACAAATACTGTCTGGATATTCAGG